TGCTGCTGCTGCTGTTGCTGTTGCAGGATGGTGGCTGGCGACGGATTGCTTTGGCGTTGTCTCGGTGGCGACGTAGGTCTTTCGGCCAGCATCCTGACACGTTGCGTGCTACCGTACACGTCGAAGAACGCCCACAATTGAAGGCTCTGGTCCACGTGCATCACCACGTTTGGCGGCCCGCCGTTCTTGCTCATCTGAACCTCACCGAAGTGAGTCACCGTGAAGGCTATCTCGTCGCCAGGCTGAGGACTCGACGCGACATCCTTCGAGACTACCCAGTACTCGGGACGATCCAGCAACAGATCGCTATCGTCAGGTAGGTCTTCAGGCGTTAGTCGAGCTGGGTCGCAAGAAGTGAGACCCAGAGCCAGAGCACCGACGTACATGGGTTCTGTGGCGAGGATCTGCACGACCAATCGCTCGCCCAGTAGCAGCGGCTGGCTTGTGAACGCATAGCCGTGACAGAATTCCGTGTCGGTCCGCGTCGCCACGCACTGCTGGTTACTGAAGCGGATGTTCCTGCCTCGGGTTCTGGAAAATAAAGAAACCAAGAAGCCATTAGAGGATAGACGGTGGGAATGGTAATGGCATTTAAACGTTTCAAGCCGATTCATGTTTGCTTAGTGGTCAGTGTCGAAGAACTAGGATGTGAAGAGGAACGTCGCGTGGCGTGGGTTTCAAGTAGTTTATCGTGTACGTAAACAGAGATTCTATCATCAGCCGACTGATGTTATTAAAACAGAAAAACCTGAATTCCACTTTTATATCGAGAACACATAATAAAGAAATTCCCTAAATTTTCTAAACTTTATTGCAACGATTCGTCTATGATCATATCACACACAGATCTTCACCAAAAGAGTTGATGCGATCAGAAAAGTGTTGTCAAAAAGCTACTACTCACGAGTGGAAGGGCAGCGGCGTGAAGATGACACCGGCCGGCTGAAACCTGAGTCCAGGTAGCTCGACATCGGGCTCGTGATGGATGGAAATGCCCTGCATGGACGGAACGATGATCCTCTCGACGTCTCTGCTCGCGTTGCTCGCGTCGTCCATGGCCGAGTGCCTGCTGTGTTGCGCGTTATCTTCGTTGCTGTGCTCGGTGCCTCTCCTGATGTTGTTGAAGTGTTGCCTGTTAGGATCGACGAACTCGATGGCGGTGCTGTTGCCGTACACGTCGATGATGGCCCACAAAGGGCCCCGTGTCTCCACGCCGCTGAAGAACACGCCCTTCTCCTCGCCATTCACGCCGAAATGCACGTCTCCGGCGGAAGTGACGTAATAGAAGAGCACGGTATCCCTTTCGGCGAACCTCTCGGCCATGGCCTTCGCCCAGTAGCCGGGTTTGTTCGTCAGGTCCGGACAAGCGTACCTTGGCAGGCCATTTCGCAGGTTGATCGGGTCGTTGCTGGTGAAACCGAACCGGATCACGCCGCTCCAGTTGTCCGAGATCTCGAGGAATTTCACACAGACCTGGGGGGAAAACAATGATGGATTAGAATAAAATATACGGGGACAGGGTCCAACCAATTACATGTATTAAGTTATCGATTAACAGATGATGAAAAATTATATGCAATATATAACGATTCTCTATCGAGTCTAACGACGCAACTCTTGTGTTGAAACTATCAAGCTCCATGGTTCCATTCTAACACTTGTTTATCTGTTATATATAGTCTACATTTTAGTCTACTTACTATTAAATAAGTTTTTTTTTTGTTCAAACTAGATCATTGACGATTGGGGCAACTATCTACGTAACTTGGCCCAACTGTGATTCTGAACTTTACTCAAAGAAATTCTTTGCCCAATGGTAACTTATTCGACAATTAATTTGAGAGTTGCACGAGATACACAGATTGTGCGGAAAGATCTGTAAAATATTCAATCTTCTATCAAGATTCTATTTGTTTAATTTTATTTACAATACATACTTTGTAACTGGTTTTATTTGTTATATTTTAGATGGATGGATATTTCAATTATTTTCATATTTAGTACAAAGGAGAAATTTTACGTGATCTCGTGCAATTATTATTCTTGAAACTCTTTCACTTTGAACACGTTTCGTCCATCGAGCAATAAGACCAAGCTAGCAATTAAAATGTCTAAACTCTTACGATTTCTTCCAAATTACTAACATTCTACCGGAAGTCCATACGTCACAAAGAGCTCACGAGGTCAAGCCAATGGCCTACGATTGATCACGAGAATCCTTTTAATAGGTCGTAGATACCTGAACCTTGTTTTCTCAGAATTCTTACGATACAAGCTTCCAATCTTTCTGATCTTATCAAATATATAGAATTGCCTTTGGGTTTCAAGTTTACTTTCCATTATAACAATTCCTAGTGACCATTTTCCATTTTCCAAGTATAAGAAGATAACCCTTCGCAGGAGATTATGATTAAAATTCATTGTAAAATCAAGAAACATTAAATGCCTCAACATTGCAAAATTTATCACACACAAGAAACATTTCATTTCCATTTATGTTTAGAGGTATTGTTCTCGGTACAATCACGCTCAAATGAAAAGTAAGATCTCCATACTCGCTGAGACTCAAAAAAAAAAAGAAAAAAACTCGTAAAAGATCCTGAAAAGTGTTACATCGCAATACCAATTGTTAAATCTTCAAATTCACCGGTATGATTCGTATTCCAGTGTTATTCGAACGTATTCGTGTTTCGTAGAGTCTAGCCATAGGATTTAAGTTCGGCCATCTTATGTCACGAGGCTGAACGTGACGAAAATCCCAAAACTGACAGTTAACAGAGGAGAACAGTTACGAAATATCGGGTTCGATATTCTTTTTCCGAGAACCTTCTGTCTTTTCGAAATGATTTACGATTAAAGCCACCGGCGGGTTCACGGTTTAGGTTAGGTTTATGATTACGACCACCAAATCCAGGAAACTGAAGAAATGTTTTCGAGGACAAAACGATTGAAGAAATGGAGATGCCTCGGTATCGGGTGTTGTTGATCTTTGCGCCACGTCGTGGAGTGAATTGTTCGAAGGACTGTAATCAATCCTGTTGGAAAAGAACGGAAAGGAAGAGGGACATTAATGGTAGTTAATGTTAATTGCATCAATTTTAACGCGAAGACGCGTGACTGTGGTTTCTCTCGTAGCAATTTCACATGTAATTTCCAAGACCAGCGCCCACCCACGCGAATACCTCAGAATGATTCTATCGTTTTCATCAACTTTCAAATTCTGAACGGATCTTGCGCGGGAGAATGTGCTGTGCATACTTCAGCGTATTAGTAGTTTTTTAACGCTCGATAATGAAGTTTTCCGACTATAGAATACATATTTCCTAGTTGTTTTAAATATTAGAATTTCTAATAAGAAAATTTTCTAATTGAAAGTCATGTGTAGTTTATGATGCAATACTTGTAACAATATTTTTTTGTAACATAATACGATATAACAGTTTGTAATATAGTA